ACTTCGACACCTCCGTCGCCGCCGCCTTCGAGAGCTCCGCCCGCTTCTCCTCCTACTTCGACACCTCCGTCGCCGCCGCCTTCGAGATCTCTGCCCGCTTCTCCTCCTTCCCCCTCCAGCCCACTATCGAGCGCGGGTTCCTCTCAGGCCCGATCGACTCCCTACTTCGACACCTCCGTCGCCGCCGCCTTCGAGATCTCTGCCCGCTTCTCCTCCTTCCCCCTCCAGCCCACTATCGAGCGCGGGTTCCTCTCAGGCCCGATCGACTCCGCCACCGGCCTCTTCTCCGGCCTCTACTTCGACACCTCCGTCGCCGCCGCCTTCGAGATCTCTGCCCGCTTCTCCTCCTTCCCCCTCCAGCCCACTATCGAGCGCGGGTTCCTCTCAGGCCCGATCGACTCCGCCACCGGCCTCTTCTCCGGCCTGCTTGATCCCAAGCCCCGCCTTCGCCGCAGCGCGAGCTCTGCCTTTCGCACAAGTTCATTTCAGCAAAACCGATCCTTTTTGGGGAAAAAGGGTCGGTTTTGCTAATTAAAAATCAAAATGGTTGATTTTGCTTAATAAATTGAAAAAAGGGTTTTTTTTTAAATTTGTCCTTTAAGTTATATGACAGATAAAGACAACTTCCTGTAGTTAAAATGTAATCTTTTACAACAAAGCTACAACTGGGAATTTCATTGAATCAGTGTAGTTTAACGATACAACCATGTTGCCCTTAGGCCTTATAAAGGTGAAAATATCCAGTTTGTTGATAATAGTGGTTGCAAGAAGGAAAGAACAACTGTTAGATCAGTTCCCTAATCGCCAAGTCTTTTGTATTAGTTGCATGAATTTCAAGGGCAGTCCAGAGTTGTCAATGCGCGAAGGCACAAAGTATCTTTACATGCACATGCACAAGGTGCACCGCGATGCGCGCGCCTGAGTGATGCGAAGCGCACACCACACATAATTTTTCAAGATAGATAATCAAGCGCGAAAGAACATGCCTAGAAATTCACATAAAAAATATGTAATATCTTACTACCAAATCACAGTATGAGGTCTTAATTTCTAATGCCTACACATCCAACATAGTAGAAAAGTTCATATCAAATCAAATGCAAAGAAAGATTAATATCCAAGTAAAATCAAATAGTAAACGAGGATTAGTTAGAGACCTCAAATGAAGGCTACTAAAAAGATCTACCGGATTTATTTTGCTTTTTGGGAAATGGTTTATTGAGTATGAAGACTCATTTGAAATGTTAACGAACAAAAATATGCAAGGTTAAGTACTCCATGTACATTGCGCAAAGTAAAGATGCTTGCAAGGCGCAAAAAGCGTTGCATTAGATGTGGGGCGCTTTGCGACCGCTCCGCAACTCAGAGCGTATGAAGTGCAATGGGGTGCGCGCCTTTGTAAAAATTGGGGCAGTCAGTCTTCGGTGCGTCGAGTGTACAGGGACGACTAGATACTTTTTCTTTAAAGAGAATCCAAAAATCGGAGGCGGATCTATGTTGGGGCTTAGGGTGCAGTTGCAAACCACCCCCACCCCCACCCCCCAAAAAAAATAAAAAATAATAATAAATAATAATAAATAATAATAATAATAAGTTTTAGAAGTTTTCTATATTCTTGTCGTCCGGTCCTCTAGGAAAGCTTTTCTCGATCTGCCACTGCCCATGATATTGTATTGTTCCAAGATTATCCACTAGCTTTACAATTGTTTGCTTGTCTTGTATGATAAACAATATGGCTACAGTATTGCTTCTATATTAATCATTAAAATTCAGTTCTCGTTTCTGCATCAGGTAGTATCAGTGGCATCCTTTAATGGGGGCAGTAACAACCTTAACCTTATGCCAGAATATGTCACTCTTGGTGGGACATTCAGGGCATTCTCAAACACAAGCTTCTATAAACTCCGGCAGAGAATAGAAGAGGTCAGAACAGAAACTCCCATTTTCTTGTTTAAATTAAAATTTAAAATAACTATTTCCTTCTAAATTTCTTAAACGGGAAATGCAGGTGATTGTCGAGCAATCCAGTGTCTACAGGTGCACAGCTTCTGTTGACTTTTTCGAGAACGAAAGATTCTATCCTCCGACAGTCAATGATGAGACCATGAACGAGCATGTAAGGAACGTTGCAACCAAGTTGTTGGGTCCCGAGAACTACAAGGTGGTTCCACCGATGATGGGAGCAGAAGATTTCTCCTTCTACTCAGAAGTAATACCCGCAGCTTTCTTCTATATCGGAGTTAGGAATGAGACATTAGGGTCAGTTCACACCGGGCATTCTCCGTATTTTATGGTAGATGAAGATGTTCTTCCCATGGGTGCTGCTGTTCATGCTGCAATAGCTGAGAGGTACCTCGTCGAGCATGGTTAGTAATTGTTCTCGTCATTGTCATAGAATGAGGAGGAAGGAGAACGAGCGGAGGATGGTAGAGAGGGAAGGAGAGATGTCCCTCCACCATTTTCTTGTCAGCTTAAACGATGGGCTTAATAGACAAAGAATGGAAACTGACAGGTACATGTCCCTTAGTTATTCCTGCAGCAAATTTTATCGGTTTCATGTTGTTAGCTAACGGGTGGATCACAGGGGAGACGAAAAAAATTTGGGAGGTTTTGTCTGTAGATTGAAATTAAATGATCCATGTAGCACTTCTCTTGTGCTTGCCGTGAGTCCTAAGGAATCCTTTCTTATGGAAAGCATAATCTTGTCGCATTGTATAAAAAAATTTTCGGGTATTTTCTCGTTGTATTAGTGCTGTCATTACTTTCTTGTTTTCTGTTTTATGCCGTGCCCATTTTGTTTTTACTTGGTTACCGAGAAACATCATACGGTGCCCAAAAAAAAAAAAAAAATGCTACCATGGCTTTGTTATGACACGGCATGTTGACCGAGATGATGTTGCAGGGGTTGACGGGTAAAAATATTGAATCATCGATCAAGTACCCTATAATATCATGAAGGGGCCCGTAGATGGTCATTCCAAGGGGTCTACATGATAAAATGAATCTAAGGGGCTTAGGATGCAAAGTCACAAAGTTATGAGCTTACGCAAAGCAAAAATCAACTAAGAACTCGCACGAAAATAGATTAATACAAGTTTACACGGTGCTAAGATCATGGGTGCTAACGTCACGTGATGCTAAGGTTTACGTGATGCCAGGACCGGCCTTGATATTCTTAATTTTTCACGGGGTCCTAATCAAGCTTTCAAATGAGGGGTCTCTACATACAATATTCTATACACAAAAAATTTTATAAGATAGCAAAATATTTTTTATTAAAATGAGACAATAAGCACATAATCATATTAATATTAAAATCAAAAAACTTCTTGATGCTTTATAAATAACACAATTCATACTACATTAAATGAGATCGCCTTGCATTTTGAGCTGCAAAATTATCAATTAAAATGTTCCAATCAAGTTTCTCCAATAAATTTTTTTCGATAGATATCATAGTCAATCCATTCAATCTCTCTTATGACATTGTTGACCGTAGATAAGATTTGATGAGCTTCAACTTTGAAAAGCTTCTCTCGGCCGATGCAACTGTAAATGGTATTGTCAATAATACTCTATAAGCAATCCAAGCATTTGGAAAACAACAATTTAGCATTTTCATAAAATTCAATACTTCACTTGCTTTTTTTGTTCCTCTTGGTAATGCTTCTCTTAAGATTTGGAGTTCTGAAAATAATTCTGTCTCATTAATATCAAAAATGTTGTCATGCTTTAGGAGATCTTCAAGGTTAAGACATGAACACTTCAAACTATCATTATCTGCAGACTTCAACCTCTCCAAATTAAACAAGAAGTTCTTCCCATGGGTGCTGCTGTTCATGCTGCAATAGCTGAGAGGTACCTCGTCGAGCATGGTTAGTAATTGTTCTCGTCATTGTCATAGAATGAGGAGGAAGGAGAACGAGCGGAGGATGGTAGAGAGGGAAGGAGAGATGTCCCTCCACCATTTTCTTGTCAGCTTAAACGATGGGCTTAATAGACAAAGAATGGAAACTGACAGGTACATGTCCCTTAGTTATTCCTGCAGCAAATTTTATCGGTTTCATGTTGTTAGCTAACGGGTGGATCACAGGGGAGACGAAAAAAATTTGGGAGGTTTTGTCTGTAGATTGAAATTAAATGATCCATGTAGCACTTCTCTTGTGCTTGCCGTGAGTCCTAAGGAATCCTTTCTTATGGAAAGCATAATCTTGTCGCATTGTATAAAAAAATTTTCGGGTATTTTCTCGTTGTATTAGTGCTGTCATTACTTTCTTGTTTTCTGTTTTATGCCGTGCCCATTTTGTTTTTACTTGGTTACCGAGAAACATCATACGGTGCCCAAAAAAAAAAAAAAAATGCTACCATGGCTTTGTTATGACACGGCATGTTGACCGAGATGATGTTGCAGGGGTTGACGGGTAAAAATATTGAATCATCGATCAAGTACCCTATAATATCATGAAGGGGCCCGTAGATGGTCATTCCAAGGGGTCTACATGATAAAATGAATCTAAGGGGCTTAGGATGCAAAGTCACAAAGTTATGAGCTTACGCAAAGCAAAAATCAACTAAGAACTCGCACGAAAATAGATTAATACAAGTTTACACGGTGCTAAGATCATGGGTGCTAACGTCACGTGATGCTAAGGTTTACGTGATGCCAGGACCGGCCTTGATATTCTTAATTTTTCACGGGGTCCTAATCAAGCTTTCAAATGAGGGGTCTCTACATACAATATTCTATACACAAAAAATTTTATAAGATAGCAAAATATTTTTTATTAAAATGAGACAATAAGCACATAATCATATTAATATTAAAATCAAAAAACTTCTTGATGCTTTATAAATAACACAATTCATACTACATTAAATGAGATCGCCTTGCATTTTGAGCTGCAAAATTATCAATTAAAATGTTCCAATCAAGTTTCTCCAATAAATTTTTTTCGATAGATATCATAGTCAATCCATTCAATCTCTCTTATGACATTGTTGACCGTAGATAAGATTTGATGAGCTTCAACTTTGAAAAGCTTCTCTCGGCCGATGCAACTGTAAATGGTATTGTCAATAATACTCTATAAGCAATCCAAGCATTTGGAAAACAACAATTTAGCATTTTCATAAAATTCAATACTTCACTTGCTTTTTTTGTTCCTCTTGGTAATGCTTCTCTTAAGATTTGGAGTTCTGAAAATAATTCTGTCTCATTAATATCAAAAATGTTGTCATGCTTTAGGAGATCTTCAAGGTTAAGACATGAACACTTCAAACTATCATTATCTGCAGACTTTAACCTCTCCAAATTAAACAAGAAACCAAAAGATTCATCATACTGTAGAAACTGTTCAAATCTACTCTTGAGTGAAGAAAGAGCTTGAACAATGATATATATATGAAGTAATTGACTCTAAAGGATTCTTCAGCTGCCATTGCCATCTCTTTACTAGCATTTTCATCAAAATGTTTCTTTCTACGAATGATGCGACGTTCACGAAAAATGGGTTCAACTTTTATTCTAACTGTAATTTCTTTAGCCTCAACCATAGCTGCTTCAAATCCATTTTCTCTGTAGCTTTCAAAAAAAGAAATGATCCCTCTTAAAAGGTCTATAGCAACATCAATCTGCATATCCTCTGATTGCATGATTTTACTTATTTTGTTAATAGCATTCAAAATATCAAACCAAATAATCATGCCAAGTAAGAACTCAAAATTCTCAATTTCATATGTTGCTAAGCACTCAGCATCACTTTTGTCTTGGGATCTTCACTAGAACTTGCTAAGTAAATCAAAGCATCTCTTATATCTGGAGCTTGGAATCTTATTGCTTTAACACTTTCAACTTGACCTTCCCAACGAGTTTGTGATAATGGCTTAAGTGTGAAACCTTTAACATTATCTGTAAGAACTTTCCACCACTTTGTAGAAGATGCAAACAATGAATATATGTGCTGCACCACTCCGAAAAAAGATGAAGCTTGCGAACAAGAGTTTACCATATCACAAAGTGCAAGGTTAAGACTATGACAACCACAAGGTATGTAGAATGATCTAGGATTTATCTCTAATAATCTTCTTTGTACACCTTTATGTTTTCCTTTCATATTAGAACCATTATCAGGATTTATCTCTAATAATCTTCTTTGTACACCTTTATGTTTTCCTTTCATATTAGAACCATTATCATATCCTTGTCCTCTTACATCACCAATATCAAGTTTAAGCTCTTGCAAAATATTTACAAGTTCTTCAAAAAGTCTTTGTCCTGATGTATCATCCACCTTTAAAAATCCTAAAAAGAACTTCTCCATCTTTATTGGGCTTGTTGAAATATTCACGCATCTTAATATAAGTGACATTTGCTCTTCATGGCTTGCATCCGGAGTACAATCAATAATAACAGAAAAGTACTTTGCTTCTTTAATCTTTTGGATGATTAAACTTTTGATCTCATCTGCTATTCGAAGAATAAATTCATTTTGAATTTTGTGACTAAGATAATGATAATGAATTTCTTTCTCCTGAACTCGACGAACATGCACATTCATTATTGGATCAAATCCGACAATCATTTCTATTATACTTAAAAAAATTCTATTATTTTCTTCATAAAGCTTCTCATTATCTCCACGAAATGCCAAACTATTTTTAGCAAGTATTTTCACAACAACAACTACTCTCAATAGTACTTTTCTCTAATGTTCTCGTTCTTTGTTGATTTGTTCTTCAACACTTTTATCAATTGTCGCATTTTGTCGTAATCTGGTCTCTAATTCAATCCAACTCTTCATGTTAACAATGTGCTCACTACTTGTTTCATGACTTTTAAGTCTGGCACTGAGATTTCTCCAGTCTCTAACTCCATCATTTGCCAATTGAATTTTGTTTGCATCATATTTGAACAACTTACAACAAAAACAAAAAACATTGTCCAAAGAATTTGAATAGATTAGCCATTTTCTATCATGATGTTCATCATTGGATAAGTTACGAATGTAATGTGTTAAGGAGAAATGTCTGCTTCTGAATCTTTTGGAAAATCAAGATTATCATTTCTTTTGGGACCTCTTTCAACTAGTAAGTCCATCAATCTTTGATCAATATTTTTCCAATTTCCTGGGTCATTTATGTTTGAAGGCATTCTTTTAAGGTTTTCTTCTTGTACCAAATCTTCATGTTCATTTACATTTTCTTCATGTTCATTTACATTGCTATTCTCATTCAAATTTCTATTCTCATTGGAATCTTCATGTTCTTCACCTTCTTCAATGGAATTTCTATTCTCATTCAAATTTTTATTAACCAAATCCTCGCTTTCTTGATTTTCAGGTTGCTTATTTTCAACATTCACCGAATCTTGAACTAAATTAGAATATGTATTTCTACTACAAGTAATAAATTTTTCAAGTGCTCCCACTTGAGATCGATTTAATTCTTCAATTTTTTGTTTCTTTATCCGCTTATCATGTCCAGACATATACTTTCGAGTAGGCATGATATCCAAATTTAATTCTGAATCTGCTACAATCTAATAAATATCGAGAAAAATAAATTAATCAAGAGTTCCTACCAAAAAGCATGTTAGGGACTAAAATATATCAAATATTTAAATTGAAATTTGAAATTAAACAATAAAATCTAGTGAGAACGAATTCCAATTTTAATTTCAATTTAGGCCCTAATCAATTTCAATTTTAATTTCACAAAGCCCTAATTCCTAAACCCTAATTCCACAAAGCCCTATTTCCT